GAGCTAAGCAGGTCAGGTGAGGATTGGAGACATGAAGGGGTGTGTCGAGAGAGGACAGGAAGAGGAACGAAATCAACACCAGGGACGGGGGGTAATTAGCCTGAAAGACATCCTGCAAAGACATGTCGCAAGCCCCAGGGTGCAAGAGATCAACCCCAAGACATCACAACAGAGGTAAGAAAAATGATCTTCAGCATATACCAAGCCGGATGAAGTACATCCTGCAAACTCGCACCTTGCACAAGCAGGCTCGGTGGGCCGGTCCATCCCAAACCACACTTAAGACTGCCAAGGGGCATACCAGATCCTGAAGATGAATATCAAGCAGAAGCACTGGACACAGTCATCGAAAGCAGCTAAAGGACAAATGCAACTGCAAAGGGCATAAGCGGCACTCCATAAAATAATCACGCAAACCCGTGCCAAGCCTAAACAAGTTAGAACCTTGAATGCCCCACCCACTAAGCCTTGCAGAGGAGCCACAGACCTGTGCAGTACTCAAGGTAAGGCATCCTCCCCAAGAGTCTGACATTTCAGGAACAGACACCTGAACCCATCATGGAAGACAACCCAGGGAGGAAAAGAGCAATACCAGCGAGTACCTAGGGAAGAAACCCTAAACATGTGTACCTTGAGATGAACAGTTATTTTTGGTCAACACAATGAGTGAGGCTTTAAGCACACATGAAGCAAATACTTCAAAATTGAACAAAACATTAGTAAATAGCTCCTTGCAGGATGGATTCCAAAGGATGGCCTTACGAAGGGAAGTGGAACTACCAGTTGAAATAGTTGTGTGTCTCGTCTTCTATTTTTTTACTTTTACTTTGCTATTTTGCCTCGATCTACCTGTTGGCTATTTTCTCAATGTTCTAGTATCCTTGGCTCTCTGCACCTAAATGAGGGAACCAAGTTTAGGTCTTTAATCCCCAGTAGTTTCTATATGACCTGCAAGGGCCTGGTGCAATTTGTTGTGTGGGGAGCTATCCAGGTGTGTAGCAACAGAAAGCCACCTTTGAGCCCCTCTTAGAAAAGTCTGGATTCTGGACTGGGACACTGAATCTGGGTCATTACGTCAAGTAATTTCCTCCAGATCATATTTTGTAAACGAAAAGAAAATTTATATTGTGCTTTTTTACATTCAGTTAAGGTCATAGTTTAGATCAGGGGAAATGCCAGAAATGTTATTCTGAAAATCATTATGAAGCCATATTTCTCAAATTATTTAAAAGAAAATCAAGAGTTAAAGAAATATTGTAGTAGTTCAATGGTTCATTTACATCATTTTGGGGTCATGACCCTACCTTTCAAAATTAAGATTCAAGAGGCTGGATGCCGAGAAATACTGGTAACGTGGTGAAATATCTTTAATATGTCAGGTTCTCCAGGAAGTTGTCCATCATATGAGATGAAATTAACATTTTGCTCAATGAAGTTTGACCAAAGAGTATGGGAAAAACTAGTGTATGATAATATGAATGGCAACTTTTTAATACGACTCCAATTTCATTTTTAATGATTTCTGTAGAGGGATGCAACACTAACAAACAATTAGAGCATTGAAAAAGTCATTGAGCATATTTAAAACAAAATTATAATGTTCATTTTCAATTAGTTTAACTGTACAGTACACTAAAAAGCTAGAAACTTTGTTGATAAATAGCCCAAAAAGTTAAGTTTATAGAATGTTAATTTCAGTCACATCAAAATTGAACATGGAAGGATATGATCCAGATCTGGGGGGGGAAGGGGTATCAGTGAACAGCACTTTTAAAAGATATGAAAAGGAGTTGGGATACAAGGATGGCGTCAACAAGAGGTGCCCAACTACTTCAGCCATCGGGGTTTGAGCACCGACGCTGCAACATTCAATACTCTCACCGAACTGATCAAAAAACTTCCAAGTGCAAGGACACCAAACAACTATATAATTAACAATATATATAACTTATCTCAGGGTTAGAGGGGAAAAATAGGTTTTAAATCACTCGCCTGGTGAAAATTTACAATACAAATGCAATAATTCTAATGGTCTATCACAAACAAAAATTACATTTAATTTACATAATTAAATCTATTAGTAATTAGTACTGTATTGATATTTTTAGATTTTCCTTTTTTACTGTTAATTTAATACTTATTATTTTTTCAAGACCAATGTCCTCCAATACATCTTGAATAACCCACTAATATATGATGTGTCAAGGATCATAAATAGCTCAGTTTTTCCAAAGTCAAATTAAAAGAGCTGGCTTCAAAAAGTTCATTATGGTTAAATTTATACCATGTATTTTGTTTGTGATTTAAACAATTTCATTCTATTCTAAAAGTTATTACAGTACAGTACAGTGGAATCTGTTGCCAAATGTCCCTCTTTACGAATTTTTCGGGTTACGAGCTCAATTTCTTCGTAAAATTCAAATCGGTTCACGAGCTTTGCCTCGTTTTGAGTGTTGATATACGTATGGGTCGACCGAGCAAGTGGTTCCTGGTGGCATGGGCGACCGCGCTTCAGTTTACCAGTGCCTCCCGCCTAGTGACGATCGCGCCTGAATTCTTTGTAAAGAATTTCATAGTTTTTCCAGCTTTTTTGGTTTTTAAACATAAAGGAAATTATTATATACCATGCCATAAGTCCCAAGAAAGTCAGTGGTAAAGTTCAACCTACGAAAACACATGCAAGGATGACCATAGAGAAAACACAAGTCTCTATGGAAAAGTTCTTAAGAGACAAGTAGTGAGCCACAACCAGGTCCTAGTAGTATGCAAACAAAACAGTACACCTCAGAAGTCATCATTGCCTGATGACTGGAAGGGGACTACCCTTCCAAACACTAAAATCTCTCCTCCTTCCTCACTGTCTTCCATACACCAACGAGAATCCAATAAAATGTAAGGTATAATTAGTACATACTATAGTACAAAATATTTCTATGTATTATGTATGAAATGTATTTTGAAGTTAATATTTTTGGGAGTGTGGAACGGATCAATTCAATTTACATCATTTTCTTATGGGGAAATGCGTTTCAGTTTGCGAATTTTCGGTTTACAAGCCGTCTCTGGGAACGGCTTTAAATTAGAAAACCAAGGTACAGTACCACTGTACTTAGTTATTTCATGTTCAATTATGTCTCATTTATTCACTTTATAAGTGTTACTAATCTTTATGTTAACTACTATTATTTATTAAATATTTTCCCCAAATGTTTCACTTTACCTCAGAAAATCTCATACCAGTTCATGTAACTGAATTACATAAATTACCATATAACAATAATACATTTTACTCAAGATCTAATATGTCAGCAATATTTAAAGCCTCGTTTCCTCTAAAAGTTGCACATAAATCCGTTCGTGGCATAACTAAAAGATAGCATCTTGCAACCCACTCTTTTGCCATTATTCTGCGTGGGAATGTCATCCAGGCACAGACTCTAAACACTTTCAGGAAAGATCAAATCTTCATTTAATGATAACCACAGCCCCTGGTACACGATAATATCAGTATCATAGTAAACCATTATAAAACAATAGCAGAGGATCTTCATGGGGCTTGTTTAACTTCATTACAACTATATGTACCTATTACAATCATATTAACACAACTGGGATGCAAATGAACACCCAACTAATGATGTCAAAATACAATAACCCCATCAAAAAGTTGTGAACAAATCACGTGTAAACAAACCCTACTCCGAAGAAAAATATAAAATAATTTAACAATCACTGCCAAGGAAATGCCCCAACTCAAAGGCGTCTTGACAAAGCTGAGGTCACTATACGTACAACCTTAGGTATTTTATATATCTGGTGGATGTTTGTCATCCACCAGAGAGATACAATACACCATATCCACCATCTCTGGTGGACGTTGGTCTTCAACAATCGGCGAGAGTGAAAATAATGTAACTTTGAAATGAAGCCGAAGAAGACTGCAAGCTTTAGACACATTCAAAATGACTTGGCACCACATCGTGAAGTGAAGCAATGTAAGGAATAACATTACTTTTAACTTTTTAAGGCAATCCTTTAACATTCTCAATGCCTTGATTGCAAATGACCATTTTTAAACTTTTGTTTATCCCATTAATAATCAAAATCATTTGGATTTTCCCTGGTGCTAATTTCTATTGGAATATCTGAATATCTTCATTTCATGCTAGTAAAGTCATCATCTGCACTGAAATAATATTTCACAATTGCCTGATAATCCCTGTCCTAAGAGAATGAGGCAATTCAGTATTTTCTAAGCTCACAAGGGTGTTTGTAATGGGCGGCTAATATGATGTCCACAGCTGATAAGTGTCTATATATTGCCCAATAATTGGCAAAACTGAGATTCATGTCATGTAAAGGAACACTGAAAAATGATGACAAATTTAAGGCAACTTAATTACCGTAGTAAAGAAAATTTGATTGACATTCAATTATTATACCATGTTTGGGACTAAGATGGTCTGCCCAATTGTAACAGAAAGCCTTTCCATGGCCTGCCAAACCGTGCCTTATTTGACGCTCCCAAACCATTAATTTCATGAGCCGGGAGTTACCATGCAAAATACAACGAGTAAAATTCAAATGCAGGAAATTTTCAAATGCCAGTATACAATTAACTTTTGATTAGAATTAAAATTAAGTAAAATATCTTTACATGCACCCAAGCACATGAATAGCTACTTAAAAGTTATCAGAACTAAGCAATGTGGTCTAGAAATTTACATTACAGCACAGTGGCACCTCAATTAACGAGTTTAATCTGTTCCAGCACCGAGCTCATCATGTGGAAAACTCATCTTGTGAAACAACAACAAAACTGTTGTCGGAAGTGTCCGAGAACCAGCGGGAACGCTTGTTAATCGAGGGAAAGCTAGTCAGTAGAGATATTTTCTGCGAGTGGCTTGCTCGTTACTCAAAATGCTCGTAACTGGAGTCGCTCGTCACTCGAAGTTCCACTGTACAGTACTGTATTTTAAGGATAACAAATATAGACTTACCCTTGATCTATCCGGTCCATCGGGCCAAGTTGACCCATCATTGGGTGAGGGCCAGGACCGTGCATGGGGCCGTGCATAGGACCATGCATGGGAGGGCCCCCAGGTGGACCCCCTGGTCCAAATGGTGGACCACCAGGGCCAAATGGTCCTCCAGGGCCTGTAAATCCAGGCCCTGGACCTCCAGGACCTGGGAATGGTCCAGGATGACCAGGTGGCCCATTAATTAACTGAGCCTGTTGTTGCTGTCCCAACATGCCCATGGTGGTGTTAGGGCCGTTCATGTGGGGTCCAGTGGGTGTGGGACTGCTGTAGTTAGAGGAACAGGGAAAGGGCATAGGTGATGGGCCTGGTCCAGCCATGTTGGAGGCTGCCATACTAACAGGGGGACCCCCACCAGGTCCCCCAGGAAAGGGAGAGTGGCCTCCCGGGCCTGGAGTAGAGGCATTTGAAGGTGCGGGGGAGCCAGGAAAAGGAACGGAGGGGGGGCCTGAGGTGGGCGGCCCCGAAAAACTGTTGGGAGGCGTGTTGAAGGGTTGTGGGCCACCTGGGCCCGTAGGAAAACTGCTAGGATTTGAGGCAGGGCCTTGAGGACCAGTCGGAGGACCCGGGGAGGGTCGGTTCAGCGTGGGACCAGGAGGATTAAATGTTGGAGTGGACGGCCCAGAGAAGGTATTTGGTGTGGCAGGGTTAGGGAACCCCGTGGGACCAACAGAGGGGGGACCGTGTGGCTCTGAGGGGGGTCCTGGGGGGCCCTTCCAGCCGAGACTTGCTGGCTCCGCCTCCAGGGTGGCGACGTGACCCTCACGTACACACACCCACACACTCGGCAGCCTGCAAAATTGACAGCAGTTAGGGAAGATCTTTAAAATGTTATTACTTGATAATTAATAACTTAAAAAATAATTATTAAATTTCATTGGTGCATTTGAATACAATTATTGTATATATATATTGTCATATACAAGATCATATGAATAAAAAAAAATTATTGGAACAACTGTCACAAATAGTATGAGAATGAGTATGAGTATGAGAATGCCACAATGCTAACAAGGCTCACATTCTACCAAGAAATGTTTGATTCCACAAACAATTTGTGCTATGCTATTTAAACCTTCAGTACGTACTTGATCATGAAGATATTCTATCCTGAATCTTATCCACCACTGCACACTAGACATGAGTAGGAGGATCTTATAGGAACTTACAAAATACAGAACAAATTTGAGGATAATAATCCAGAGCATTTCTCTAAAGGTTTCATAACACACAAAAGCGGCAACAGCTTCAAGCTCAAGCCACAAAGTAGGACAGAAAACAAGAGATGCTTTTTCACCCATAGAGTTATAAACTCATGGAACTGCCTACCCAAAGAAGCTATAAATGCCAAGACATTACTAGAGTTTGGAAATCCAGTTCCAAAAACTCAGGAAAATGTGGGTATTTCTGTCGATTCCATATGTCAATTCCGAGGATCAACATCCGCACAGCCTGGTCTCTGACCAAGCCTCCTGGTTGGTGGTCTGGTCAACCAGGCTGTTCGATGCGGCTGCATGCAACCCGTATACAATAGTGTGTGCTTTCCGAAAATGATAGTGCACAAAATTATCATACCCTATTGTATCTCTCAAATTTATTTAGGTGTTCTACATTTAAAATATACACCTGTCTGTTCTCGATCTCTCATTTGTCATAGCCAACTCATAACTGTCAAACTGTAAATAAGATTCAAAATACCATAAGATTTGATATGCCCAGTAATAACAGGAAAACTAATCAAACAACACAAACAAGATAGACTATCTTGTACTGGCATATCTTGCATTGGCAACACCCACATTTACAGCTCCTCAAATGACACACCAGGCACACACACTAGAGGCAATAGTATTTATGGAGCAACAATAATGGCATTTTAATTCCTCTTCAGGCCATTTAAGATATGGAACCAGCAGTCCCTTGAATCTCTACAGAATGATACAGATAATTTTGTACCAAGATGGTTTGACAGAAGGGTTTTAAAAGCAATCTAACCCACTAAAGCACATCTTTCACTTATCGAAATACAGTACTGTAGTCTTAAAAATCTGAAAGAAAACTTTGTCGAAATGCCTGTGTGATTTGATAGTATGAGAGGGCTTTCAAAAAACATCATTACCATCACTTGCAACATTAGACAAAATTTTCATGTATTTTAGAAAGTTACTGTACTGTAATTAAGTAGGAAAAATAGAGAACCTGAGATGCAAAAATTTCTTAACACAAGTATTAACTGTATGATATATCAATAACATGAACATCAGTTGCATCACAAACACACAAACTAGGAAAACCACATGAACAGTTCTGTAATCCTTCATGTACAACTATCATTGACGGTGCCTTTCTCCTTTCTGCCTGTGCACACAAAGACTATTATTATTATTATTAATAATCCACAAGCAAATCATAATAGCATGATATATCAATGAGAAAATCACTGGAGCAGAGCATGTCTGACATTCGCCAAGACACTGGTTAAATCCCCGCTCTGCTACAGTGATTTTCCCAGTAATAATAATTAATAAATTGTTTAAATGAAATGATACATTTGCATGCAAAAATAAAAAGTGACAAATTTATATTAATACAGTATTTTATTTTGCCGAGGGACAGGAAGCTGTGTGTGTATTCATACACAATAGGCTTATATCAAGGTCTCCCCCCCCCCTCTCCCAGACCGAATTACTGACCCCGCCCAGGATGCAACTCCACAACAAGCTGACTAACTCCCGAGTACCTACTCACTGCTAGATGAACAGAGGCATAAGGTAAAAGGAAATGTGCCCAACCATTTCTGTTCCACCTGGGATTTGAACCCGGAATTCTCGATTGTGCATTAAGAACAAACTCGACTGTACTACAGAGACCCTTTTGCGGATTTGTGGATTAGCCATGTTGGGGAAAAGGCAGTTATGATTGCACTAAACGATTTATATGTTTGCCATTTCCTTTTAGTTTACACAATATTTTTAACTTACTTGTTTGCACAAAATCAGAGACTGAGTACCTTATACAGGCCTACAATGCATATAATATAATATACATTATACACCTATAATGCATGTCATTTTGCTGCTGGTATATATTTAAAAAGAAGTGTTATATCAACCAATTCTTTTCTGTCTGGAAATGCCATCCAGAAATATATCAAAACACTGCTGGGAATCGCCAAATTATAAACTGACGATAACTTTGTGGTGTTTGGTACACGATAACCTTGACGATAATAAGCAAAAAAAAAAGATAGCATATTAAAATTAAATTAGTATAACTTTTTTGACTGTCTAGGTCAACTATTACACTTGTATACTGTACCTGTATTATAACCATATTTAGTTCATTTGTTTAAAAGCAGGTGATAACTAAAATCATCTTGAGGATAACCGCATTACCCTTTGGATTAACATATAACAGTAACTGCACTTCAAGAGTTAACTTATCACGAAAGAAAATAACATTGGCAGTATACCATCATCATCATATAAACTTATTTTTGCAACCACACTTGCTAACCAATACTAGAAAAATATAAATACAAGAGTGCAGTGATCGGCCTGTATAGGTACACTACGACTAACTTCACATACTGTATAAAGTACTGTATGTGCTCACTATATAATCATTACAGTAATATTAAATACAAGTAGCCTATTTCCATGCATTTGCAAATTTTTCCTGGTCTATTATTATCTACCCATTTTAGGGCTGGGTTTCAAAATATGCAAGACTGTCCATTTTTGGAGCTGGGTTTAAAAAAATACAATACGATCTGTCTATTTTGCAGTTGGGGGGTTTAAATTTAATTCATTAAAACAGAAAAAACAACTAAATCCAGATGGCAACTATGTTCCTGTATTTACATTTTTTCAGTCACGAATTCAATAACAACTTTGACCATCCTGCTCATCAAACACAGAATTAGTAATACAGCCAGTCATTTTATTTTTGGGAATTTCCAGAACCATTGTAATGGAAAAACTGGAATCACGTCTAAAACTACTACCGGTTAAAAAATTGTTTATATAAAAGCTACATACGTGTAAGTGGCTATGAGAATTTAACTAGTCACTGCACTGAGGTGATAAGCATAAACAAATTGGATGCATCATTACCAAGTATAAGAACCAATTACCAGCCATTCTGGTTATAAAGCAGAGATTAAGAGGTGTCAAAGAGGTGCAAGTGTAGGCATGACAGATGGAAGACTGGTGTTGGGTATAATAAAATAAATATGATCCATAATCAGACCGACAATGACAAACAGGTAGACAACCAATGTTTTACATTAATGCAAAAAATCTGTTTGTAATTATTGTAATTTACATGCTACCTGGCCAAATGATTGTAGATACAAGTCTATGCAGTACTAAACTATAATGTACAAAACCACAGAGTTCTGTGCTACTTGGGTACAGGCCCCTGGAAAGCCATGTCTTTTACATAGATATGCAATTAACATAACCAAATGCATTTGGCCCAAAACAGTGCAAAAGTATATGGCGAGTAATTTGACACCACTGATTACATTTTGGTTTATAAGTTATGGGCCAGATGTTGAAGTGATGGCTACTGAGGACAAGATATGAGGGACGCTAGATGAGCGAGACATGAGATGTGAGGATAACCGAATATGAGTAAGCAGGAGGACTGTTACACCAGCCTCATCTCCCATCACCACCGAGCATCACCACACCACCCACACATCTCCGACCTCGTGGCGGTCCCCAGGGCCAGAGGAAGAGAGGCAATACTCGCCATGAGCTGTGTAGGAGAGCCACAGAGCGTGTTTCACCCCCACCAGACTCGTCCAAGCCAGAGACACACGCACACTGCCGAAGTCGAAGTCGGGTCAGGGGGAGCAAAATCCCTCCCGCGATACCCTATACCCTCCAGGAGCTCCATACCCTACCCGACCTTGTGCTGGGGGCACGGGCTGGCAGCCTTTCTAGCCCCCGTCATTTCAACCCTGCCCACCAGAGGCGTCCTACCACCTGAAAAACAGGTTAAATAGGGTTTGTTTACCTGGCCGGCTGATGGCACTGTGGCTGCTGTCGACGGTCACAAAGGCGCGACAGGCGAGTCCCGACGTGCGCACACACATCAAAATTGGTGCGCAAAAATTAATATATCTCTCTCTCCTCCTCCTCCTCCTATTCTCTTTCTGTTCTACACTCCACTACGCACCTTGGTGTCTGTGCTCCGGGCGTCCGGCCACGACAACTGGCTTCAAATCAAGGGAAATATTGTCACCCGCTACGCTGTACACATCGTCGCTTCCAGCCCACGATGGGAGAACATTTTTAACCACTGTCAACTCCGGGAATGGAAAAGAAATAAGAGCAACTTTCTATTGTGTGATGGTGCATTCCCAGAGTTATTTTGGCAGCAATGACTGGATTATAATCTCTGCGCCAGTTTAGTCAAACATGCAAAACCAACGTGGGATGTTCTTAATTCAGCGCTATGCGATGCGAACTCGCAACTTTACATTTATGCAAGCTCGCGAATGAAGCTTTCCATCCATAATATAAAACTTTAATGATTTGTTTGATAAATACCGTTAACATTTCCGGGGAGCATCCCCCCAACCCACCCCCACCGGAGGCACCGTTATGGCCGACAGTCACACCGGATCAAGCACAACCTGAGTGATTGGTGCTCACTAGTACAAACATTTTTATTTTCTCTTTACGGACTTTACCATTCCCACCGACGACAATACACCACAAACGCTACTTTTAAACCTTCACCCGCGTGACTTCAGAGAGTCTAAAGGACTTTAACGTGTATTACAATGAATTATTTGCCAGGGGGAAAAAAATAGGTTATGGCAACTGCGTGTAAGCCCCCGATGTGGTCGCCTGACCCGCCGGGTCACAATCAATATCCAAAGATTTATACATTCAAGACCCGGGTAAAACACAAGATAAAGTCCCGGCGCGGAGAGGAGAGTCATCCCAGAGGAGAGTGTAGAGCGTAGTGAAGGAGCCTGCACCACTTACTGTTGTGAGAGAGCAGGGTGGAGGAGCAGGGGCGGGCGGCCCCGGTGGCACCTTTCCTCCCGGCGCGGCGCCAGATGACAAACACGCTGCCTCGGTCACACAGTAACCAGTTTGTCCAATTTTATAATTTACTTCACCAAGATTACACCCGGCCGGACCTCACATAATGCTTCCACACTTTATGTTTGTGGCCAGCATTGTGCAGGTGGGCGGCCGAGTGGGCGGCGGGCCCAAAGACGGCGCTAATGGAGCCGCGCGTTTATAAACACTCCATAAAAATTGTGAATGACAGGTGTTGGGTGCCAAATCCAGGTCTCAAGTTGCCAGCGAATGTTTATGTGCGGGAGCGTGTCAATGACGGGCGGCGAGGGCGGCGGGCGGCGGGCGGGCGGGATGAGGGCGGCTCCTACACTGCCTCCTGCACGCCATAAGACAAAACTGGGGCGACACTTTTGCTCTGGCTCGGCCCACAACCTAATTACCGGTCCACTCGGCCTACCCCCCGCCCGCCCGCCCACAGGGGAGCCCCCACAGGGTGCCCAAGCGACACCCCCGCCCACTGTAGCCACCAGCGCCCACCCTCCACTCCGCAGTCTTAGATAGTTTTAGGAGTGTGTTAGTGGAGGTGGGAGGCGTGAGATGTGTGGTGGGCGGAGCAGCTGGCAACTGGGGTGACGGCCGGGTTGGCCATCTCTGGCCAGGGGCTAAATCTCCCTCCCGTTGGCAGCTCGTGCCGGCCACACATCCTCCCCGACGCCTCGCCCTCCCTAAACTCCACACCAACCTCCATCTTCCACATCACACACACACACACACACCCACACACCCAGAGAGCAGGCCATGGCAGACATTACCCCGAGGTGGGTGCAAGTGTGGCCGGGGACAACCTCCCCACGACCTGCAAGAATGGCCACACAAAAAAGAACGTGGGTGTGTCCGTTTTCATTAAAATAACAGTTCATCGATTTGCACGTAGTTTAGGTGGTCGTCAAACTATCTGCATGATGATGGTACGCTGGTGGAGGCGCTCGCATCATCTATCCTCACCACAACCCCCATAAGCGCACCTTAATACACTTAAGTATTACATAGATGTTGTCGAGGAGTGGTTTGGGTGGAGCGAGAGAGCGGAATGTTGTATTAGAGGAGCCGTTATGGGTGATTAGATCAAGTGGGAAGAGGCGCTTTACTTGTAGCATGTGAGGCAGCTGGCGAGGCGCGAGCTGGCAACTGTGGCGGCGGTGTGTTCCCCTCTGGAGCAGATGTTCCCTCCAGACGCTCCCACGACCCCGCCGTGGCCGCACGCCCGCTCCTCCTGCTGCTCCTGCCACCACTATCATCAACCACGACCCTGCTGCCACCATTGACATCAACCAGCCCCTGCTGCCACCACCGCCATCAACCAACCCTGCTGCCACCACTACCATCAACCAGCCACTGCTGCCACCACTACCATCAACCAGCCCCTGCTGCCACCACTACCATCAACCAGCCACTGCTGCCACCACTACCATCAACCAGCCCCTGCTGCCACCACTACCATCAACCAGCCACTGCTGCCACCACTACCATCAACCAGCCCCTGCTGCCACCACTACCATCAACCAGCCCCTGCTGCCACCACTACCATCAACCAGCCCCTGCAGCCACCACTACCATCAACCAGCCATTGCTGCCACCACTACCATCAACCAGCCCCTGCTGCCACCACCGCCATCAACCACCACTACCACTCCATCACCACCACCTGCTACCACCACTACCATCAACCACCACCGCCATCAACCACCCCTGCTGCCACCACTACCATCAACCACCCCTGCTGCCACCACCGCCATCAACCAGCCCTGCTGCCACCACTACCATCAACCAGCCCCTGCTGCCACCACCGCCATCAACCAGCCCCTGCTGCCACCACCGCCATCAACCAGCCCTGCTGCCACCACCGCCATCAACCAGCCCTGCTGCCACCACCGCCATCAACCAGCCCTGCTGCCACCACCGCCATCAACCAGCCCTGCTGCCACCACCGCCATCAACCAGCCCCTGCTGCCACCACCGCCATCAACCAGCCCCTGCTGCCACCACCGCCATCAACCAGCCCTGCTGCCACCACCGCCATCAACCAGCCCTGCTGCCACCACCGCCATCAACCAGCCCTGCTGCCACCACCGCCATCAACCAGCCCTGCTGCCACCACCGCCATCAACCAGCCCCTGCTGCCACCACCGCCATCAACCAGCCCCTGCTGCCACCACCGCCATCAACCAGCCCTGCTGCCACCACCGCCATCAACCACCCCTGCTGCCACCACCCATCAACCAGCCCTGCTGCCACCACCGCCATCAACCACCACCATCAACCAGCCCTGCTGCCACCACCGCCATCAACCAGCCCTGCTGCCACCACCGCCATCAACCACCCTGCTGCCACCACCATCAACCAGCCCTGCTGCTACCACCGCCATCAACCACCCCTGCTGCCACCACCGCCATCAACCAGCCCTGCTGCCACCACTACCATCAACCAGCCCTGCTGCCACCACTACCATCAACCACCACCGCCATCAACCAGCCCTGCTGCCACCACTACCATCAACCAGCCACCGCCATCAACCAGCCCCTGCTGCCACCACTACCATCAACCACCCCCGCTGCCACCACTACCATCAACCAGCCCTGCTGCCACCACTACCATCAACCACCCTGCTGCCACCACTACCATCAACCAGCCCTGCTGCCACCACTACCATCAACCACCACCGCCATCAACCAGCCCCTGCTGCCACCACTACCATCAACCAGCCCTGCTGCCACCACCATCAACCAGCCCCTGCTGCCACCACTACCATCAACCAGCCCTGCTGCCACCACTACCATCAACCAGCCCCTGCTGCCACCACTACCATCAACCAGCCCCTGCTGCCACCACTACCATCAACCAGCCCCTGCTGCCACCACTACCATCAACCAGCCCCTGCTGCCACCACTACCATCAACCAGCCCCTGCTGCCACCACTACCATCAACCAACCGCCCCTGCTGCCACCACTGCCATCAACCAGCCACCACTACCATCAACCAGCCCTGCTGCCACCACTACCATCAACCAGCCCCTGCTGCCACCACTACCATCAACCAGCCCTGCTGCCACCACCCATCAACCATCCCCTGCCACCACCATCAACCAGCCCTGCTGCCACCACCGCCATCAACCAGCCCTGCTGCCACCACTACCATCAACCAGCCCCTGCTGCCACCACTACCATCAACCAGCCCTGCTGCCACCACTACCATCAACCAGCCCCTGCCACCACTGCCACCACTACCATCAACCAGCCCCTGCTGCCACCACTACCATCAACCATGCTGCCACCACCACCATCAACCAGCCCCTGCTGCCACCACCACCATCAACCAGCCCTGCTGCCACCACCGCCATCAACCAGCCCTGCTGCCACCACCGCCATCAACCAGCCCTGCTGCCACCACCGCCATCAACCAGCCCTGCTGCCACCACCGCCATCAACCACCCCCTGCTGCCACCACCGCCATCAACCACCCCCTGCTGCCACCACCGCCATCAACCACCCCCTGCTGCCACCACCGCCATCAACCACCCCCTGCTGCCACCACTACCATCAACCAGCCCCTGCTGCCACCACTACCATCAACCAGCCCCTGCTGCCACCACTACCATCAACCAGCCCCTGCTGCCACCATCGCTGCCATCACTACAATCATTCTCGTTATCTAATATTTTTTGTAAATAAAACTTAGTGAAGCACCTTGCCACACCTTGGCCCGGCCCGCAGTACACACCATCACGCCCCTCGCTCTCCCGAGTAGAGCTGGGAGCCTCGAACCCC